AACAAATGAACTCCGTCAACAGGAACGGTTTATTGCAAAAAATAATTGCCTGCGATCACCTGAAGGGCAACTATATTTGCCTGAGCTTCATGTCTCATACAGGAATTCGTTTAACATACAGTAGTTTCGCGGTGCAACAACGGTGCTCGCCTTTGGCTGGAAACAAGACCCCGCCATCTCGCCGAGTGTGCGTAACACGCGATACCAGGAGGTATCTTAATGCCCACTTTGACCAAATTGTAAAAAACGCAGTGCTTTGGTGGGATTTGAACCCATGACAGCAAGGGGCGGCTTTAGTAGAGCCAACACTCCAACCATCTGATCTACGAGGCCGCACCGGACGACGCGAATTTGATCACATTTGGATCAAGTTTATCCACCCAACCCACATTAAGGTCTGGAATACACCAAATCTGATACAGCAAGCTGACTACCCAAGCAGGATTTCCTAAGTAATACATCTAGAGTCCACCAGATGACTAACAGGCTCACGTAATTCAAAAGTATTTTGGCAGATTTATGTGAGAAGAATTATTTGAGCCTGGTAGTCATCTGGTGGAGTCTCATTTATTCTTCTTGGCTGCGTGCGGAGGCAGCGCCTGATGCATTGTCTGGGTAGCCTCACTAAGTGGTCCACCGGATACCGCAGTTCCAATGCTCGTTCGGCGCCCGATTTCGGATGAATGCCTTAACATACTCGTGTTTGTGCACCATTCTATGGTTGCTATGTTAGCAGATGATCTAGGTTGTATTAGTCGCCCCCCCCTATACACCGTAGTGCTCAGTTCACCAGAAGGTCTGCATTCGACAAGGCTGTCAAGGAAGGAAGGTAGGAAGGCCAACTGTCCGATCTGACCTCCTCTTGTTGACTAGATATCAGGGACGTGTGATCTACCAACCAACGCAAACATGCGAGATGGTAATGGCTGAAATCGATTTTTCCCGGCAGTTGCGGAGCCAATTATGCTAGGAGACTAAAGATTGGTGACCACTGGTTCGAACGTATGTTCTTCCATTTAGAGTGAGAAAAGTTAATTGATGGAACGTAAATCGTTTCATCAGAATCTCGATTTTGAGGGTTCTCAGTACTATGTCCTGCTTCTCTTCAAGCCATCTGCGTCGTACACGGGGCACGGTGGGTGGGTTAAACGATAATATAACTTCCTTGGAATGGGCGGCTTTTCCTCGGATGTCGTCGAGGAGTTGGCTAATGGGAATTATAGAAGTCCCAGGGCCTTCAGTGAGAAAGTTCGATTTTCACGTTATCTAAATGACCATATTGCAGGTAAGGCTATCTCCCCGGGCAACCATTAACCGAATGAGACGTTAGATAATCGGTATAATCTCTCCAGTACTTCGTCACCCTATTTCCTTTGTCGCCGTTTGTCTAGCAAGATCATGGTTTTACACCTGAGTCAGCTTAGAAGTCCGCTTAGTTGGCCAGTCATCGATTTGGCTTGCGAATGTGAGCATAGGTATGTATGATGGCCATAAAGTGTGTCGATCTGCATGAAGAATCACGCTTTAGTTTGTCTCACACGCGGACGCGAGACAGCAGATTAAAAATAATTGCTAGAGATGAAGGTAAATGCGTTTTTGTTTTTGTGATGGTGCGGTCATAAATTCCCATTTCACGAACTGGGTTATAAAGTTTTAAATTCGACGGAGTGGAGATAGATAACTTACAGGGGCCACGAGGCCTATTTTTGAATTTGTTAAGGCTGTGTGAAAAGAAATTCCGGAATTTCGAATTTCTATTCGATAACATCTCGTCTGTTAGCGTATTTCGAAAAAGCAAATAGGTCAGAGCACATGGGGTTAACTTCTTCATTAAGGGATGTTGTTAGACGGTATGGATTCTTGTCGGCTAACTTGATATAGCTGTTCACATAAGTCGAGTTTTCTAGGAATTCCATGGGTCCTGCTCGAAGTGTGTAATAGTTTTGTATTTACGGTAGTATGGATATTGTTGCTTTTTGATCAATTTCAAAGGGTGCGCTGTCATAATGCACAAAGATAGGTCAGATTTCAGTGGTGAGGACATTGTCATGTATGATGTTTCCTCAGGTGGGTGTACCAAATTGCTGTGCCAATCTGCAGAATGCAGTTGAGGATAAAATTTCATCGTGTTCGGTGCAAATTGACAGTCCGATCCATTTTATTTCTGAATGGTTCAAATCACCCATAATTGTTGTACGTTCAGTTTTCCTTTTTGAAACAGCATTCATTACATGGTTAAGGTCTCTGTCATCATTGATGCATTCTGGAGGAGAGTAGAGATATCGAACTAGTATTATTTTATAGGTCTGAGTTTTTATTGTACCAAAGCATGTTTTATCAACGACAAATCCATTTGGAACGCCAAAAAACTTTATGCCCAGGGGTAGTTCTATGTAGATTACACATCCGCAGTCTCACTCATCTAGGAGGTCTCGTTGATAGAAATTACAATTTATGACATATGGTAACATACACGATAGTAATTCATTTGCCCATGCTTCTGTCATGCAAACATTGAGAGAATTGTAGATATTAACGAAAAACCTAAGTTCGGTCATTTTATGGACTATCGACATTACTTTGATCAGTTTCACGTTTCGGATATTGTATATTGAGAAAGAGGCCATAGCGAGAAAAAGAGGACTTCCCAAATTGTTTTGGTTGGATGATGGGCGTGATAACTGTAAAGTATATTGATGTGCAGAGTGGAGTTTGGGTGCATAGGTTAGGTCTCAGTTAGGAAGGTGGGTTGTCATTTTATAACTATATATATATATATAGATTATTCTCTGGAGTTCATATACCAGAAACCGCTAGAGAACGCTGGGGGTCCCGCTGAAGAGCCGAACCCCTCGCAGCTGTGTCACGCAGCGGCAGAATATCGGCGAAACACGTGTCTGGGCTTTTAGCAAGTATCTAGGTCGGGAGTACGGTATAATACCTTTACCATATGAAATATATATATATATATAACGTATAACGGATGTAGTATGCATTCCGAGGCGATATAATAAAAGGACAAGGCTCATTGGAAAATCGAGGTATAC